AGGGGTCTAATAGAGACATACACCATGGGTATCAACACCTATACTAAAGAGTAGTCTTTCAGACTGAGAAGTGGGTGTAGGGGCTATGGATATGAGTAAGTAACTGGCCCCACCTTTAAGGAATGTGTTAGATGAGGAGATAAGACATTTATTTTCTAACTGCCATTCTAGGGGGAAAACAGAGGGCGATGAAAGGCACAACTAACGAGGGAGGTGCCTTAGACCAGAGAAGTCTCTGTGGGTGAATTGGCTTCAGGAAACAATACAATTTCAGGAAAGCTAGACACCAGTATGTAGGATATGCTCATCCAAGGGGATATTGTCAGTGAAGAAGGCACAGATTCAGGAAGGCATAATTTTTGGCACAGTGGTTGACGGTGAATACTTACCAGGACCAAGACACAGAGCTTGTGCAGAATGAGTTCAGGTGTGGGAAGATACACAATCCGGGCGATACTGAAATGCCTTTTTAGACTCCATGTAACACAAATGGCAACCCTTGACCTATTTTGTCCCAAAGACATGTATTTTGGCAGCAAAAAAAAAAATTGTGATTTGATGTTTTAAAAGAAATTTTATATTTTCAGTTCACTGTAGTGCCACCATTTTTGTTATTCTTTTGAGATGGTAGGTAAGACAATCTTGCTGCCATTCAAGATGGCATGCATGGGGGTTAGTTAGATCTACCTGCTGGGAAGCTGGACTTCATGGATCCGTTTTGTCATGCATTAGGTTTGTGGCCTTATGTAAGTCACTTATACTTGTTGAGCTTCAGTTTCATCATTTGTAAAGTGGAAATAGTCCCTAACATATGCGGCAGGATAGAGCCATCTAAACAAGTCTCATGGTGCCAGGGGTCCTGTAAACACTGAGTCAGTGTCAGTTGTCATTAACCATGCACCTGGACCTTGAAGGCATTTGAGTTTGCAAGCTCTGCTAAAAGCTGTTGTGAAAGGAAATAACATATTTTCTTGTATTTTGACTCCTAGAGTACTGGTCTAAGCCCTGCTTAAATTGTAATGACTAATCCAGGGCCTCGGCTAATTCTGGTAATTGTCTTGAATCCTCAGCTGCTGGTATTAGTTGCCAGTGATGAGCTCCAGTGTAATTTCCAGAAGTGAACCATTTACTCATCCACTCACTCTTGAGTGAGCCAATGGAATAACGGAATCAAAGCCAGCTTTTAATGTGGCATCTTCCGAACAGTCAGCGATTGTTATAGAATAACCCCTAGGTGGGATGATGGTTTCACTGTCAGAACATGTGCATTTTGAACGTGAACATTCTTACACTTCCAAAAGCTTCTCTGGTAGCTGGATAGTCTTCAATAAAATGAAAAATGGGAAGAGTTTAACACATCTGTTGCCCCCTAAAAAACCAAAACAAACACACACCAACAACAAAAAACCACAAGAACATGATAATGTGAGGATAATCTTTTCAAAAGTACTAGAGTGAACAAAACAAGTCTTTTGTACAAGTGCTATGCACTTAATAAACATGAGCTGCTAATTACGTAACTGTCAGTGGTGTTTTCTGACACATTCCAACCCTAGCTTCTTGCATTACAGCAAATATGAAAGTGCCTGGAAGTAAATCACAGTTGCTGAGTGCTGTGGGCAAACAAACCCAGGCCTTATCTCTTTCAAAGCAGCCATAGAAAATGCATGATAAATTGCATAGTTCAGTGAACACGTTTTGTCATTGTGAAGTGATTTTGATTCATGGTGATGTATTTATCGTGGAACAACTGACAATGCTGAAGGTATCAGAAGTATCATTCATGGGGGTCTTGATATTTTTTTTCACAAAATTCATATGCTTTGAAATTCTTACGCTTCTAAGTATATTCAATTCTTTACTGAAAGTAAGATTTTTCACAAATTCTTAGAAATATTTTTTTAATTATGTGAATTCCTATTAGAAGTGTCAAAGAACTATGCTAGTCAATAACATTTTAACTATAATGAATAATTCATTTTTTTGTTAATATCCTTTTTTGAAAAATTTCATAGCTAAAAATAGTCAATAGTATAAGCCAACTTGATGTTAAAAAGAAATTTCTGGTTTTTTTTTTTTTTTTTTGCACAATAACAGTAGAATTAAGAGTGAGAGAATTACATTAAGAAAGATTTTGCAGAAGTGGCTTTTGTACATAATTCCTTTTCTCCATGGCCAAGATTACCTATTGTTCTGTCTTTATTTCTTGCTGAGTCACTGAAGTTAAAGTATTAAATAGTTAAATCATTTTTCACCTAAACTTTAGTTTATTCAATTCTGATTTTTCTCTCCACTTGTGTTTTGGCTTTCAGTATTTGATTGTTAAAAATCTCTTCTTCTAGTGTCAAAACTGCAGAAAGATAGCCTGACACACGAAAACTGATGCGCCCTCTGGATGTTTATTTATTTTTTTATAGAACCTTTAAACTAAAGACAACCGTGTCTCAAGTGGTTGTTTTGTTTCACATGATTTCGTTATCTGCGCTTATTTTTGTAACCAAGTACCTTAACACTGGGGATTCTGCTGCATAGTGATCATCACTACATTGAGAGCTTAAACATAATGAAAACCTTGGCTAGTGGTAAGAAAGAGAAATTATTTGTTAAGCATATTAGAAGGGGCTTTGGAATTTCTAATATATCACCATCACTGGGACCTGAATTCATTTTATTTTCTCTTAGTATATTTTAACCAATTGACCTTTACATATACTTTGCATTTATTAAATTAGAATAAATTTCAGTAACCTAGAAATGTGGTTTGAAACATTCATAGTATTTTTCTTTTAGCCTTGGAGTATGACAAGCCTATTCTCTAAATATTTACATCATTGGAGAATATCTATGTACATATGCTGATTTTGGCTTAACATTTTCAAAAATAAGTCTGTTAAATTAAATGTAAGCTTTCCAGCATCAAACCGTAGATCACGCCACTTGATACAAATATTGCCACCTGCCTTACAGTGTTTTCCTGAAAGATTTTTATGCCCTTTGCTTCTGTCTCCCTGGTCACTTTCACCTTTCGATTATAAAGTCCCAAAATGTATCTATAGGAGGATGATTTTAAAACACAAGATTTATGTTGCTATAAAGGAGAAATCCTTTATAACCACATAAAACCATTGTCACCAGAAATATCAACCTAAGTTTTACATGAAAGAGGACATATTTTATCTTTAATGCCTCGTTAAACTTTCTGGAAAACGGTAGTTTTCTAAAATATCCTGGGTGAATGACTACATATGTCTGTGTTTCTTCTGAAAAGTTCAAATATCAGTGAAGAAAACTAACAATTCAATTTGCTTTAATAATTAGAGCAGAGGTGCTTTTCTTCTATTTAATTTTGCTTTTGTGCTTCAATATTGCCTTGATGCATCAACCATGTCTTTCTTGCAGTTTTCTTTGAGTGAAATAGCCAAGCCCACCACCACTCCCCAGTTACCATGATATCCTGTTTTAGAGGTGACATTGTGTGATACTCAGATTCCTCCTGCCTATGTGTGTGCTTGCACACACACAGACATACCTGTATATGCACAGGTCATGCGGCTTCACACCTGAGTATGCAGGTGCACAGGGCTGTGGGTACAGGTTTGTGCCTACATACACATGCGAGGTAAGCTGCACTGTGGTTAAGAACATTAACTGCTTGAGTTTGAATCCAGCCATACTACTTCCTAGGAATATGAATTTGAGCAAATCTTTTTATCCTCTTAGTTCAGTGTTGATAGATTTAAATAGGTGACTCTGTAAAGAATTTTGAAGATCCAATCCATGGTTTGCAGCTAACAAAATACTAGCTACTACCATTGTATGGTGATATCTTCATTTATTCTATTTTATTCCTAAACTCATTTATACACTGGTACATTGGTGCAATCATTACATATGTATTTCATTGAAATGACATTAAAGATAGGCTGACAGACTATTTCAGACTAATCATTTAATTAAGTAGGCTGTATTATATAATGCATCATTGATGAGGGGAAACAGTCATAAAGAATGGAAGTGGCATAATTTTGTGCACACAGATCACCCATCAAACACTGTGAAGTGTGTTCATTTATTGAAATATGGGACCATTGTGCATCCACTGTTGAGAACTCATGTCCACTCAAAGACTGGCCTAGTGGTGTTGATAGCAGTTTTATTCACAACTACCAAAGCTTGGAAGCAACTAAGAAGACCTTCAATGGAATAAGTTGTGGTACATCCAGACAGGAAAATGTCACCTGCACTAAAATAAAATAAAGATATCAGGGCATGAACAATTGGAACAGAAACTTAAATGCATCTTTTAAAAGCGAAGACATAAATCTGAAAAGACTAAATACTCTCAGACATTGAAAGGCAACATTATGAAGACAGTAAAAAGATGCCTTGTTTCCGGGAGTTTAAGGTGGGAGAGGCGTGACTAGGTGGAGCACTGAGGGTTTTTAGGGCGGTGAAGCTGCTCTGTGAGGCTCTAAGGTAAACATATGTGTTTACCTGTGTCCAACCCACGGAGTGTACACCACCAAGCCTGAACCCTTCCTGCAACTGCAGGGTCCAGGTGATTTCAGTGCAAGTTTTTCAGTTGTAAATAATCCTCTGGTGGGATGTGGACAGGCAGGGCTGTGCAAGCAGAGGTGAGGAGTCTGGAAAATCACTCTGCCTTCCTTTTAATTTTGCTGGAAACCTAAAGTTTCTCTTCAAAAATAATTCTATGAAAGAGACTAGCAAGATAAAAATAGAACAAAGCAAAGAGAACTTTTTCAAAAATTGCAAAAACATCTACCAATATATAACTAACTCCCCAAGAAAAATGTCATCTAAATGTTAATGACCATCACTACCAAGTCTTGCTTATTGCTACAATAAAGTAGTCAATTTAATGATTTTTTTAAAGATGACACATGGTGTGTCTCCCGCCACTAGAAAAGTACAGTTTAGGAGAAGCTGGATTTGCAGTGCCATGCTAATTATGCACATTTCAAGTGAGTTTTCTTTTACAGGGAGCTCCGAAACCTATAGCCATTGAGCCGTGTGCCGGGAACAGAGCCGCTGTCCTCACTGTGTTTCTTTGTCTCCCGAGAGGACTTTCAGGTACCCCTCCACCTGGGCAGTCAGGTAAGAGGAATGATCTTCCCCCGAAAAGCATGGATGCGTCTGCAGTGCTATAAATTCAGATTTGCCTAAGTTTTTCTTAAAAACACACATTGAGTATATGTGTGTGTACGATTTGTAACTATCACTGGCAGGACATGCAAGGTCTTGACCTTCTGGGCCAGGTCTTTCCCAGTGTATGTGCGGTGTAGGATGTCACGGTAGGATCATGATTGGAAGTTTGCTTCATTATTACAAAACAGAAACTGGGGAACTTCTTGCATGTTTGGAATATTGAGTGGCATCAGGGGTGATAGCTTGATGCCTCCAGTCCACTGTGTTCAAGGCACATTCTACATTGGCTGCCCAAGTATCTCCTGACATTCAGGCACCAGCAGCAAAGTCTTCCCTCCAAAAAAGACATGGTCTTGTTTTCAGCACCAGACAAGTGCAGTTTACAGGCCAGAGGACCCTTTGTGTCTGATTCTCCTTTTTGTACATGAACAAAATATTTTCAATGTGCAGGTAACTCTATACGTATGTTCTCTTAAAGGCTTCCCATCGCTGTGATGTCCATGTTGTAACCATGCCCTGCGTCGAGTTTGGCTTGAAAATTAAATCACAAAACATGCTTATTTCTCTCATTTACAAATCCTAACTCATCCACTTGAGGTTTCTAATTTGTCTGTCCTCAATCATTTCTTTATCTAACTCTTTGTGAAGTGGGTGTTTACTGAGGGGAAGGGTAACTTCAAATCTATCTTGCACTTCATTTTCTCTTACTATAAAATAAAGTGCCAGAGGTATGGCACTTTAAAAGATGTAGGTAAACCAAACCCCAGCAATGACATGACCATGGTCAACATTTCCTGCCCAAGAGCCAATATGCCTTCTCAATAGTCACTGGAACATTTCTTTACCTAACTCAATCATTTCTTTTTCTAACTCTTTGTGAAGTGGGTGTTTACTGAGGGGAAGGGTGACTTCAAATCTATCTTGCACTTCAGTTTCTCTTACTATAAAATAAAGTGCCAGAGGTATGGCAGGTTCTCAAAAATAATAATTGATACTGCACCTGCCAACACCCTTCACCCCAACTTAGCTTATCTTCTCTTCATTTCCTACTTATTCTGGACCTTCCTCTTCACTGTCTTGATGTGTGTCCAACCAGGCCCCAAAGTGGAAGCCACACTACCGTGAACTTTGCAAGCATAGGATATCGGTCTAAGAAAATGTTGTCCACACGGGCACAGAGGAGTCTCATCATCTCTGGGGTAGTCATTTATGGTACCTGATGATATCTTGTTACAGGAATGCTTATTCAGAGCTCATTTGTAAGGTGTTTATGCAGAGAAATAAACATTCTCTGCATCTTCTCATCCACTGAGTGAATGCCTCCTTCTCCTTTCAGAATCACCAAGGTAAATGGGATGCAATAAGTAAAATAGTTTGGCATCGTTCAGATGAGATGGATAATTATAGGTACAGAGCCCAGCTAATGGAAGGGTTGTTTTAAGACTGGGATGATTTCCAAAACAAACACTTCGCTAATGAAAACAAGTCTGTGATACATACCAAGGTTCTTCTAGATCCTTGACAAGATGACGTACTGAAGGGCAGACAGAAGGCAACCGCTAGTACACCATCCCTTTGACCTTTGAAATCTTTTTGGCAGATATAAAAAAGCCAAGCAGCAGTGTGGACCATTACCTCAGCCATGTTTTATTACAGGTGCCTTATGATTACTAATGGTAACACCATCTAAGATATGCAGAGGGTTTTACTCCTTAAAAGGGGTTTTCCTATTTTTTGCATTTGCCTGATGAAAATCCTACATAAGATAGATAGTCCAAAACACACTTTATAAATGAAGGCATCAAGGCATAGGAGTCTCTGTATTTCTACACTCAAGGGGTAATTGGTGAGATACTAAAGTATAGAGCAAAAGAACAAAAAACATTACTGCCAACATTCTAGATAATTCTTCCAGGTGATGTGTAACAGAAAGTTTATTTCTCTGTAATCCACAGCCCATGTCTTCACAATTCAAACATTTAGAGGAGTACTGGAAATGTCTGTTGGGTTGGTACAAGTAGGTAAAACCTTGAGTTAACCCATTATACTTTCTCCAAAGCCTGTAGATTTTACTGTGATGAATGTCAGTCTACATAATTCTGGGTGACCTTTTTCTCATTTAAAAAAAAAAAGTAACTTTTTTTTTGGTTGTTTACTTAGGAGTAGAAGTACTTTTCTATTTTACTTTGCAAAATAATTTATTATCTATCTGAAGTCTACTTGGAAATGCATCAAAAGAAAATGATGTTGATGGTAAGATGGACAGATAGGTTGTAAAATAAGTTAAATAAATGTTAATGATATAATCTAGGTGCAGGGAATACTGGTGTCCATTGCAAAGTTCTTTCCAGTTTTCATTAGGAGAAAATAAAACTCTTGACCTCACTGTCAAAAAAAGTTACAGTATCTCTAGAGAAAGTTTTTCAGATTCTGCACCTGGGTTTTCCCTGAGAAAGGAAAATGCTGATTCCAGTATCCAGAGTAATGAATTTTTTCCCCTACTCTTCATGAAAATGTTAGGTATGCCCACAGTCAATTGGAACTTGACATTGTAGCATCTGATACTTGAGAAGTGTGTTCCAGTGACTATTGAGAAGGGGTATTGGCTCTTGGGCAGAAATGTTGACCATGGTCATGTCATTGCTGGGGTTTGGTTTACCTACATCTTTACAGGATGTCCATCTGTCTGTCTGTGCTTATAACAGTATCCTGCATGGAGCTGCAGTTTATAAATGCTTTGGACAATGATGATAGAATCCAAGAGTGGCCCCTTGCACCCGTGAGTCTCTGCCAGTGACAATCCCATGAGAATTCACCACTGTTTCCCACATTGCTTGCCTAGGAACCTCAAGTTCTGAAGAGTCTCCTTTCACTTGGGTGCAGGCTCAGATGTGCAAGGAGGTTGAGAAGGCAAGAACAGGGAACTTTCTGGACAGGCCTGCTCACTCCATGCCCACAGTGTGAAGGGCCCAGGGGCCCTTCTCCCTGCTAGAGAACTGTTTGTGTCCCTAGATATCAGCATATCTACTCAAGGATTCATTAACAGTAATTATTAGATTAGATGTCCTCTTGCAGTTCTGTGCATGATCTCAAAAGTTTTTATCAGGCATTTCTGAAATGTAGCTTCCTAAATGTCGAGTGATACTTTTCATAATGCACTCCTCATTACTGTGAATAAAAGCATTTAAGGGAAGGGCAAGTTTGTAAATTATGAGGAGGCAGGAGCACCCTCACCATGCTGGCTTTCCTCAAAAAAATGAATTTCAGCACTAATAAGTGAGTGATTCAGAGACAGGCTGGTGCTATTTTGGTTATTAGATAACCAAATAGATACTTTTAGAAGTAGCCGTTGGTATTTGTTGGTGTTTAAAATATGGCGCTGTTTTGGGTTGCATTCTCTCTTCACCAGGGTTATTCCGATAATAATAGACACAGCCCTTTTAGTGTCAGAACATTAGACACAGCTCTCCTATTAACAGAGGTTTGTCCTTCAGATTATCCCAAGCATTAATTCCTTTTAATATCATGAATGTAGGTGTTTGTGAGCAACTCTCCCAGTAGGTGGCTTACAAAAGTAAAAGCAAAAGGTTTGAAATAGGCTTTTTGGCATTCCTGGAGCTGACTAATTTAAGTTTCCTGCCCCACCAACCTGCTGCTTCATTCCTGTATTTCCTGTGAGCATCTCTGCAGGCTCTCTCGGATTAATGTCGATTTCTGCTGTGGACACATAAACACTCAATAGGCGCGTTCTCTTCTGACCTCAGAGTGGTTAGGGGTGGGAAGAGCACAAGGTCTACAATGATGCTGCATGGCTAAATTGGTGGTGAGAATTTCATGGGGGGCTACACCCAAGATGATAAAGCATACATTGTATAAAAATAGGTGTCATACAAAAAATAAACACAATAGTAACAGATTATTTTTAAAAAGGAATAAAAAAAGAAAAGCTGACATCCCCATGAAAACAGGACATCGAGTAACTGCTGCATGACACTCAACAACCATGATTTTTTCCTATCACTTGGGACAGCTCGGTCCCCAAGTGTTTTAGAGTCACATTAAGATGAAATGTGGACAAAGTAAATAGAGCTCTTCAAAAGCATGAATTGAAAATGATAATGACTGCTGCCACTCTGATCGAGGAATATGGATTTTGTAGCTTATGGGTTCTTACTAATAAGAAGGAAATTAACTTTTCTCCGTGGATTAAAAATCCCAGTGGTTCAGATGTCCACTGCCCAAGAAGGTGACCTGCTACAACTGGAAGTAGAGTTTTCCCTGAAGTTGCCTCATATTTGATTGATTCTAACATTCACAAAAAGAATAATTTTAAAAAGTCTGAGTTTGGTAATTATTTCCTTGAGGTTTGGACTGTTTGGCAGGATCACCCTATTACTTCGACATATCTAGAAATACTGTTAAATAGTAAAAGTATAGTCTCTCATCCTGTCATATGAGATGCGTGCGTACAGTGTGTGCCTCTGTGCCCATGTTCACAAAATACTGAGCAGAGGACACTTTGGCTTAAGTAACTGAAAAGAGGTGACAGAGAGAGAACTAGTAATTCTGAGCATTGTTTTGGGTGCTTTGTTGATGTTCTTGGGTTGACCCCTCAAAGACTCTAATGAAGTAGCTACTATTATCCCACTTTTGAAAATTAAAAAAGCCCTGAGACTTTTTTTTTTT